GGATAGTTGAAGTGTTGGGAAAAAAAATAAAGGGCAATTATTCCAAAAAAAGACAAAAACAAGATCAATCAAAAGCAAAAAAAATTAAAAACATAAGAGAGTCCAGCTGAGTAGATAAACTGCCTATGAGTAGTACATTAAGGTTTTAGACTCGAATTTCTTGGAGATAACCAATAGAAATTACTTTACTGAAACACCCGAGGTCTAAGAGTTCATAAACCTATAGAAACGAATAAACTACCCAAAACATATATCATTCACTGGGGCCGGGCAGGTCGGGCATGGCTTAGGCTAGCGTAAACCTGGACTACTTTTTTGGCCCCGGCTCTGGGGCTAGACCCAGCCCGGTTCGTGACCCGGGTATGTCATGGGTTAGATCGGGCCCGACCCACTCGGGCCCGAGCGGGACATGACCAGTGGCGGCTGGACCAGGTTAGCCTCGGGTCGACCGCCGCCACGCGCCAACCTAACAATATGGATATATCGCAATGTTTTCTCGCATGCTTTGGCATCCCAATAATTCACTTATTTCTTATTATTTTACATTTTAGTCCTGCGACAAAGTCAATTCACTACAAACACTGGCTTCATCAAACTTCTACACTTCTCCTTCTCTACTCTGTAACACTGACACCCACTCCTCACGTTCTTCATCCTTCCCCACCCCCCCCCCCCCCACCCCCCAACCAACAAGTATGTCCTCCTACGATCGCTTATCTGAGCTCAAAGCCTTCGACGAGACGAAAGCAGGCGTCAAAGGCCTCGTCGATGCAGGCATCACAACCATCCCTCGCTTCTTCCACGACTCTCTCACGGACAAAACCATCAATCCAAACCCACAGATCTCGATCCCCATAATCGACTTACAATCTGATCAAAGAATCCAAGTCATCGACGAGGTGAAGCGAGCATCGGAGACGTTCGGGTTCTTCCAAGTGGTCAACCATGGAGTGCCCCAAGAAGTCATGGAGGGGATAATTGAAGGAGGAAGGAGGTTTAATGAGGAGGGTAATGAAGTGAAGAGGATGTATTATACGAGGGATACGAGTAAGAAAGTGTATTTCAATAGTAATTTTGATCTGTATCAGGCGCCCTCGGCGAACTGGAGGGATACCCTGACCTGTCTTATGGCGCCGGAGACCCTTCAGCCGGATGAACTGCCGCTTGCTTGCAGGTAAACTTCATCTTCAAACCTGAATAAATTTAGTCTTTCATATGAATTTGAGTGCAGTTTGGATTCACGACGCCAGCTTAAACATTCAAAATAAAAGACACATTTCCAAACCTGAAATCTCCTCACACGAAATAGAGGGAACATAAGTATGCCACTTGAATCAAAACCCTTGAATCACTGCACAACTCACAAAGTGTGTTTCGATTCGAGGGACGTTTTCAATTAGTACACCTGAGTCGCAAAAAAAGCCGAAAAGGAATATATGAATCACTTCAGTTACTTTTATATTTTACATTTTTCTTTTTTGTTGGGAGTATCTCTCATCAATTCTGTTTTCTGTGTGTTGATTTAGTAAAGACATGACATGTGATTTAGTCCTACAACAGAAAAACATCCAGATGTATATACAGTTACATATATTTCGACGCATTAGGGTCAATTCGTTTTGAGTCGGTTATGTCAAACAAGCTCCATAGGCTAGCATGCTTACAGTGGGGAGAAAAAAGAAAAAGAAAAAAAGGAGCACAAAGATATCAAAGATAACATGTGTTATAGTATTCCTACCCATGGACGTACGATGTATTGGCAAACAAACAGATGTATCTTCATATGTCTTGCCCCGCTCAACTGGATGGCCCAGATCCCTCAAGAATCTGACTTAGCCGATTCGCCAAGTCGATGTTCTCCCATGCCAACATGAAAGACGGTGTTAGTCGGTCCTCTTGTCCTGGACGACTCGCCAAGAGTCTACTCGACTACTCGTCTAGAACACCTCTTGGAACCGCCTTGAAACGACGTTACTTCTCGACGAAGCTATCCTTACTGGCTACAGGTCCACATCGCATTTAATGCATAACAGGTGCGTTATTTCTCTGGCCTCGGTAGTCTTCATGACTCATCGAACCACGTGGGCCACTGTCTCGCCACTGATCACTTCCCATTAATGCCGAAGTGATCTACCCTCTAGTCGCCAGCCGACACCTGTAAAGCAAAAGCTGGCTCAGCTGCCAACCCGCACTTCGCCACCGCCTCACTGTGCTTGACCGAAGTGACCAATTAACCCCTCGTGCTTCGGATATAAATACCTATATCATTCGAACTTAAGGGGGACTTTTGGATGAAAAACACAAATCGAACCTTGGAGCATATTACTGCACAAAAGAACACACTGTTTTAACTTTTCCCCCTCAAGTTCATCAACTAACTTGATCATTGGAAGTATAACGTGGGAACTAATCCCCGCCCTCTTACGAGTTTCTACAAGTACAGATTGATCAACACCCTAATTCAAGAACCAGACATAAAGACAGGGAAGAAAGTGGCACTTCATCAACGATGAACCGAACCTATCCTCTTCTGGATACAATTGACTGTTTGATCTTAGTCATCAACAGTTTGGCGCCCACCGTGGGGCTACTTTTCTTTTTTGAGAAAAAGTGTCAGGTTCTGAGCAAGGGTCTGACCAGTCTCACCCTATAGAACACCACAATTATGTCACTCGACGTCAACTCGAGGACACTACTCGCAGACTTGCTCAATCCTTTTAGGAGCAACTCGACATCTTTACTAACAAAGCCCTTGACCGGCTTCCACAACAACAACAAGTTTCATCGGCTCACCACCTGCATAATGAAGACCGGAGACCGGAGACTCCTCCACCTTGGAGCATTGCGAGAGGTCCCACCTCGGATTCCTCACACAGCTGTTGAACAGCCAGGTCGCACTGGACGACAAGGTTCACTCTCCCGTCACACACTCTGCCAAGAAGAGCCTCGCCGCCAACCTCTTCCTTAACAGGAAAGCACTAGTGAGAGTTCTGGTCCTAGTCACCTAGAGACCACAATGGAGGAGCCTATAGGGCCCATCATCGCCACCATACGTCACCAACCCCCTCTACCACCGTAAGGGACTCCAGTTGTGATCGAGTGTACCGGCCAATCGCTGGCACCATAGGGGGGAACCACCCCTTCTCGGATGATATAATGAATTACATGTTCGGGAAGTTCAAAATGCCCCGCGTAGGGATATATACAGGTGAAGGAGACCCTGCCGAGCATGTTCAAAACTATTATGATATAACGAGCATGCTCCAAAATTCGGAAGCAATCCTCTACGGATGCTTCCTGATCACTCTTGCAGGGAGTGCTAAGCTTTGGTGGAATTGCTCTCTAAAGGAAATCCATCAGTAGCTTTCGTCAGCTCAGCTGAAAATTCATCCATCACTTCTTGGCTAATACCAAGCAGAAATTACCCCCCATGTGTTGATTCAGATGAGGCAAGGGCCTGAAGAGAGCCTCCGAGCCTATTATAAAAGATTTCAGGCGAAGAGACTGGAGGTCAATGGCCCAGGAAGTGCAGTCGCCATGTCCGCACTCATTGCGGGCTTGTAGAATAATGAGTTGGCCGACTCGCTTGCCAAGAAGCCCATTGACAACTAAGAGCAGTTGATGGCCAAGGCACACGAGTACATGGATATGGAGGACGCCCGAGCCTATAAAGCATCAACTAGGAACTTAGAGACCTCTACGGCCGTAGCATTAACGCCACTAAGGGCTACAACCATTTTGTCCACCTCGACAACCACACCGGTTAGTACCAACTCTAGAATCGGTGAGGGGCCTCCCTGCAAGGCGAGAATGGCCCAAAGACCCCCCAAGATTCGACCCTCTCTCCAACCGGACCAATAGAAAGGACTAGCAGAGGAGTCACGAGCCAAAAACAAATCTCACCATCTTCGACACCTCTCTCACCAATGCTCTCGCCATGGTCCAGAGAGAGGGATACCTCAAAGAGCTCGCCCCTAAAATAATGTTGAATCCAAAGAACCGTGATACCTGATAGTTTTGTCGGTATCACCAGGATCACGGTCATCTCACCAACGATTGTCGCGTCCTCAAGAGGGATATTGTGGATTTAATCGAAAGGGGATATTTAAAGAATCTTGTTGCTCGACAGGATCATCGAGAATTTGACCTGCATTGAGCCGAAATGAGGTCCGGTTCGCGATCACTTCATCCTCAACCACAACAGGATAATCAACCCTCGGAGCCTAGCCACAAAGGAGTCATCAATACCATCAGTGGTAGTCCAACTATTGGAAGATCTTCTAACAACGCCCATAAGAAATATGCCAAGAGGGTGTTGTGAGTCTACGAAGTTGACAAAAGGATAAAAATTGACGAACCCGTATCTTTTGGGGACGCCGATCTACGAGGCGTGTAGACACCCCATGATGATCCTATTGTCATCACGGTAGGGATTGACAACTACCGGGTGAAACAAATCATGGTCAACACAAGAAGCTCAGTAGATATCATGTATGTCAATGCCTTCAACAAAATGGGCATCAATAGATCTCACTTACTCCCCTATAGAGGACCCCTTATCAGCTTCACTAGGCACTCTCTTCTTCCATAATAAATGATCACTCTCCCACTAACGGTAGGAGAGTACCACAGGCAGGTTACTGTCCCTGACCAATTCTTGATAATGGATCTTAAGTCGGCCCATAATGTTATCCTCGGTCGAACTGCCCTCCACCTGTTGTGAGCCATTCCCTCAACTTATCACCAAATGCTCAAGTTCCCGACTCCCAACAGAGTCGGTGTGGCCATGAGCAATCAACGAGAGGCTAGATCCTGCTATCAGCTCTCAGCTAAGGGTAAGGGTGTGCCAGACGCCCTACCCGTGGAAAAGGCCTGCCTCTAATTAGAGGAAACAATGGAGCAGCAGAGGACAACACCGGTGGAGGAGCTTTAGGAGATACCCATTAACCGATAAAGATTAAAGACGGTTAAAATTGGGTCAAGCTTAGTCGAACCCTTACGAGGGGCTTGGTCGAATTCCTGCAGGCGAATGCTGATGTCTTTGCCTGGGAACCTAAGGATATGTCAGGGGTTCCCCCCAAAGTCATCAGCCATGAGCTTGTTGTTGACAAACACACCATGCCAGTCCGATAGAAGAAAAGGCACCTCAGCCCAGAACACCAAAAACCGGCAGCTGACAAGGTCAGACGACTTCTTAGTGCCAGCTTAATCCGGGAAGTCCAATACCCGGAGTGGTTAGCTAATGTTGTCTTGGTGAAAAGCTACGAATAAATGGCGAATGTGTGTAGAGTTCACCGACCTCAACAAAGCCTAACCTAAAGGCAACTACCCTTTGCCTTGAATTAACCAATTAGTCGACGAGAGTGCGGGCCATGAGTTGCTCAACTTCATGGATGCCTTCTCCGGCTATAACCAGGTCTTTATAGTGGAGCATGATTAGGAGAAGACCTCTTTCATCACTGATCTAGGCACCTATTGTTATAAGATGATGCCCTTCAGTTTGAAGAACGCAGGAGCTACCTATCAGAGACTTGTTGCTAGAGTCTTTAAGCGCCAGATCAGGCGTAATCTGGAGGCTTATGTTGACGACTTGCTGGTAAAATCAAAGCAAGCATTTGTCCATATCTCAGACTTGGACAAGACCTTCTCCACCCTCTGGCATTATCGGATGAAGCTCAATCCTGCTAAATGTGCCTTTAGGGTATGTAGGTGTAAAATTTGATTTCCCAAAATAGGGATTTTATTTGTATTGATAAGAATGGCTTATTACAAACTAATGAATCAAAGTTATAAAAAAACGGAGGGAATGCCCTCCTTGTTTAATGTGGGGTTTTTGGTAGCGATAGGATGTTTTCCTCAGTGTCGGAACTGAGTTTGCTTCCCTTGAACAATCCGAGCGAAGTTGCAGGCGAGCTTCGGTATGCAATAGAAGCTTTTGTTGACCGAGTTCGAGTTCCCGAGCTTAATAGTTGTCAAGGTTGAAAGCTGGAAAAAGATGCTACAGTGCAGGGATAATGTAAAGAGCGGGTCGCCAGCCAACTAAGAAGTGAGCTAATCAGTCGAAGAGCGAACCCCTTTCACGTAGCTAGGAGTGTCTCTTAAATAGGGAAGAGACAACATGGTCACTCCTTTGAATCATGGGATATGACCATGCACTATTGAGATATGTCGTGCCTCTCACTTGTACTGTGAGCGGCTGCTTGTTGGGCTCGGAGCACTGTACTCCTCCCCTTCACGTCACGAAAAATGGGAAGGCCCATCCCTGTACGTGATAACACCACCACCAAGTATTCTGATGAGCTTGGAAAGTTTGCTCTCACTTGTATTGTAAGCTGTTGCTTGATGGGCTCGGAGCACTGTACTCCTCCCCTTCACGTAGGGGGAAATGGGAAGGCCCGTCCCTGTACGTGACAGCACCGTCGCCGCGTATTCTGGCGAGCTCGGCAAATTTGCAGGC